ATTTCTTCTTGTCCACCTCCTCCTCCTCCTTCTCCGTTTCTCCTCCTCCTCCTCCTCCCCCTCCCCCTCTGCCTCCTCCTCCTGCTCCTCCTCCTCCTCCTCCTCCGCCTCCTCTCCGCCTCCTTCTCCTCCTCCTCCCCCTCCTCCTCCTTCGCTTCGCCTCCTCCTTCTCCTCTTCCTGCTCCTCCGTCGTGCCGATCCGCTGTCTCGTCGGCTCCTGGGGGGGCCACTCGAGGAACGCCGAGCCGCTACTGCGCAAGAGGCGCTACCCCACCGGCCAGCCAGATCCGAAGGAGCCGTGTTCCGTATCCCCACGCTGGGCCCCTGGGGGTAACCCCCCACCGTGTCGACGATCTGTCGATATGGGTGTCGAGGCTGCTGGGCCCCCCCCCCCGCAGGCGGGTGAGTGGGATAGGCGGGGCATGACAAAGAATATGCGCGAGGAAAAGATCATTCAGATGGAGCAGTTGTGGAGGGGGAGGAGGGGGGGAGGGGAGAGGAAAGAGGGATCCCCACACTGCCCTCTGTGACTGCACTGGGCCCTCCTACTCATGGGACCATCCCCTGTCGCCGCTTGGCAGCCCTAGGCTGGCCTTGTCGGCAGCATGCAGCGACGGAGACGCAGGAGGCTTGCCTGGCGGCGGCGCCCCCAGAGAGCAGGAGCGGCGGGGGGAGAAGGAGAGCACAGAAAGGCGAGAACTTCAACTTCCGGAGCTCCACATGGATTTATTGGATCGGCGCTGTACCCTTCTCCCCTATCCCCTAACGCGCGGAGCACGCCAGCGAGAACGTCCTAGTCCTCACCCTCCTCCTCATTATCATCCTCATCGTTCTCCTTATCTTCGCTTTACTCGTCATCGTCCTCGTCTTCGCGTTCGTCATCATCGTCATAGCCTGTTGCTCGTCCGTATCGTCTTCGATATTGCCCTCGTTGTCATCCACGTCGTCCTCTTTGCAGTCTTTATACGGTTCCACTTCCTACTCGTCCTCGTTTTTTTCTCGTCATTGTCATGCTCGGCCTGCTCGAGGGCATTCGTGTAACGGCTGTATTCTGCCTGGGCATCGTTTATGAACCAGCTGGTGTGGATACACGATGCGCCAACGAACACCCAGACAGCCCAACAATCCATGGATGAGGACCTTCTTCGTCGTGATTTGTCCAATGCGGTGTTCCCAAAACGCTCGCACCCGTTCCCCTGGAAACAGGTGCCTGAACGGCCCCGGGGCCTAGAGACGGTACCCAGGCCGAGACAGTACCCAGACCTCCGTCGGGGAGGCGTCAGCGTCGAGTTCTGGGGAATGGCATTGACAAAGTCACCCCATGACTACAAATAGTTACAGCTCGTGCAACCACATATCACATGTTAGCGCCATACGCAGCACACGCCTGCTTTGTGAGCTGAGCAACGAGGCTGGACGACGTCACGCGTCAACAGTTAAGGCACATGCGCGTCTCATAATCAGTTGCGGACGCATGCGTACATATACAAGCGTCACTTTATAATGACCCGCGATCTATCGCTGGTAGACCTACACATGTGAAAGCCCATCCATTATGTGTGTTCTATGGAAGGGCTCTCAGTGACAGGGTTTGTGCTGGCCCGGGAAGCGGCATTCCTGCTGTTGGCATTGAACTTCCCAGAGCTAGCCTAGGGGAGGGGCCTTCTTAGCAGGTTTAGAAAGCAGAGGCCTGCAAGCGCTCTCGATTTGGCCCCTGGAATGCACTGGCATGCGCTGTGCATCTTGCACGCATGTATCTTGCCAAGGCGACCCAAAAAACGAATACGCCCCCCGGCTATCTAAAACTGTTGAGGTTCTGTTGAGCGGGGACCGGCCGTCCCTGCATTCCTGTAGGCCTACCACGAAATCCTGGTAGAACCCCACATATGTTCGAATGACAAAAACAGTGCGATCAGAACACAAGTCCGATGTCTTCAAACAAGACGGATTCGGCCAGAACGGCTCTGAGAACTTCGCGCGAAACACCTCAAGAAGTTCTCAGAACAGTCTCTGGCGGGCCCGTGGGCCAGCCAGGGCGCTTCGCCCCTCGATCCTGCCGGCCCCGGGGCCCGGGAGCGGCCTCGGAAGGCCGCCGCGACTTGCGAGGTCTGGCTCCAGCGGTTCTCCTAAGCCACATAACTTCTTGATGGGCCCAGATTCCCCTCCAAAGCCATATACACGAGAGGGACGAGGGGGGGGAGGAGGAGGAGGAGGAGGAGGAGGAGGAGGAGGAGGAGGAGGAGGAGGAGGAGGAGGAGGAGGGGGAGGAGAAGGAGGAGGAGAACCTCCTCATCCTCCTCTCTCCCCCGTCCTACGTGAGGAGGGGGAGGAGGAGGAGGACCTCCTTATCCTCCTCTCTCCCCCGTCCTATGTATGGTAGCGGTGGGGGATAATGTGCCCATCATGCGAGGTCTGGATCTGGCGGCTCTCCCCAAATCCACCTAACTGCGCGCGCCGCGCCCCGCGATGCGCGAAGTGACCTGCGTGCCCCCGCGCAGCAACCTGGCGGCCCTGGCCGCACAGCACGCGAAGGCGCGGTTCGTCTCGCGCCCGTGCGAGGGACGGGTAGCACAGCTCCCCCCCCCCCGACTCCGTCGGGGAGATGTACTGTGGAGGCCAGTCCAGTCCACAAGAACCCTTCCACAAGAAACCTATCTCAGAGATCCCAAGACGTCCATCGATTTTTGGTGTGGGAGCGTCACGCGTCCCGTCGCAGAACCATCGAAACCCAAGACACCAAGGCCACCCTGGAGGCAAGCGGGGTGTTTCTTGGCATGGGCCCCCACTGTAAGACTCGGTTTCGGGGGACTCGGGCAGGCCCGGCAGGGGCCACCATGAAAACGACGAGGCCCAGTCTGAAGTTTGACGCGAGCTCCCACGGCCCCCAGTGGGGGGGCCAGGCGACGGCCTCCAAAGGCCAAAGGCGCTGAAACACACCGGCCGTCAACTCTGTTGTCCGTGCCGCCCAGATCGGGGGCGGACGAAATTCTGAGGCTGTCAGCGAATGCGCTGTCGGCGAATCGGCGACTGCGCTGTCGGCGAATGTCGCGCCGACTGGGTGGGGGGGCCAGGCCAGGGACCCCTGGGAAGCCGAAAGCGACGAGACGATCGGGGACGGACGAAAGGGGAGGATGTCAGCGAGTCAGCTGTCGGCGAATTGGCTGACGAAAGAGGGGGGGATGTGTCGGGTCGCTGTCCTGAGAGGGGGAGGGCGTCTCTGGAGAAGTGGCTGCAAAGCAGAAACTGGTTCACTCGCGCTCTGGGCCCGAACAGGACGGAGGTATTCCAAACAAGTGCATTCCCGCAGGAAGCAAACACGTTGTACCACGCAAGGGATCCACCCACAGGCGGGTGGATCACCCGAACACAGGTTGAAAAAAACAAGTCCTTCACTAGCTTTCTGGGGCCCACTCTGAGGTGATGTCCTGCGTGAGCCAGGCACCACGTAGTGGGCCCACGGGCGGGTGGGCTACTCGAGAACACCCGATTGCTACGCTTGCCCTCTGGGCCCCAACATGAGGTGGTGCGATGCTCGAGGCTCTGTTGCTCTCGGGGGCTGACGAACGAACAACACACACCCATACCCATAGGGGGGTCGTTGGGAGGAGGACTGGCTATGGGTATGGATGGGTGCGGGTTGTCGGACCCTGGGGAACGCTGCCGTTCGAGCGGGGACCCCCATCCGACAACACGCACCCATGGCCCTCTCCGACCCCCCCTAAAGGTATGGTGTGTGTGTTGTTGGTTCGTCAGGGGCTTCACTCGTCGCCGCGGCTGGATGCCGCTCGGACAGCTGGTGCGTGCGGACCCCCGGAAAAGGGGTCCCAATGCAACGCTCTGGCGCGCTCCTGGGACCGGTCGCCGTGAGCAGCGGCCCAGGGGGAGCAGGGCGAGGACGAAGCAGGAGGGTCACGAGGGTTAGGAGAAGAAATATGAGGAGGGTTAGGAGGAGGAGGAGGAGGAGGAGGAGGAGGAGGAGGAGGAGGAGGAGGAGGAGGAGGAGGAGGAGGAGGAGGAGGAAGGAGGAGGAGGAGGAGGGGGGAGGAGGATGAGGAGGAGGATGAGGAGGAGGAGGAGGAGGAAGAGGAGGAGGAGGAGGAGGAGGAGGAAAAGGAGGCAGGTGGCGGGGAGGCAGGAGGGGAAGGGGGAAGAGGAGGGGGGGGAAGGACGGGGAGACTGACTGACTGACTGACTGATGAATCGGACCCAACGTGTCGTCACGACCTTGCAGCTACACTACCTCGCAGAGTGTACTATATCAGTCTGACATCTGGGTCTATCTGGGAAACCCCATCACTCGCACAGGTGCGCAAGCGTCACAAAATACGCATTGGCCCTGCAGCAGGCCACTCCCGCACTCGGTCAGGCTGGCCGCCTGCGGGCACTCGAGAGTCGAAATTGCCACACAGTGCTCTGCTGTTTACCTCCGAGCGGAGGCTTGGCCAAAATATCCCGCCAGGCGTTCGCGTGCAAACAGCGTAGACATACGCATTGGCCCTGCAGGCAGGCCACACCCGCACTCGGTCAGGCTGGCCGCCTGCGGGCACTCGAGAGTCGAAAGTGCTACACAGTGCTCTGCTGTTTACCTCCGAGCGGAGGCTTGGCCAAAATATCCCGCCAGGCGTTCGCGTGCAGTCAGCGTAGACAAAACATTTAGATTGCCTCGCTTCCGACAGATGTGCCGCCTGAGTGTAGTCTAGGCTCCGATAATTTTCCTTTACGCCCCCTGCCCTTGCCCTTCTGCGGACGTGGTGGGTCTGGGCGAGGAGTGAGAAGGGTCGAGTCGAAGTTGGAACGGAGGACAGGAGCAGGCTGGCTGGGCTCACGTCTTGGCGGCAGTCTACCTGCTGCCACCAGATCCCTATAGCGGGCGCTGTCTCTAAAAACTGGAGGGGCCGAGAGTGTCTCTCGGTTCAAAACTGCTGGCATTAGTCTAATGTACCGTCGTGGCGCTGTGTCTTCCTCATCTGGCACCAACTCGAGGATCGGTGCCTCTTCTCTCAGCTCTTCGTGTAGACTAGCTTCGTGAGGCCTCGATGCAGCGGGCCCCTGGGTGCTCCCCCCAGCTTGCGCTGGCCCCCCTCCCTCTTGATCTCCTTGATCAGGACCTCCCGTACGGCCCGCAAGTCGGGCACGTGCAAGTCGAAGGAAAAGATCAGCCGCACTTTCTCCTTGCTCTGCTTCGGCTGCTTGTTCGTCTTCGCCTGGTAGTGTTTGACGCACGTGCCCAGCATCTCTGGGTCCTCCAGGCGCACTACCTTCTTCCATAACTCTCCTAGGATGGCCTTGTCGTCTGGCGGGACCACCTCTGCTATGTTCTTGATCACCGCCGCGATGACGACGAGGTGCGGCGGGCCCAGCGCTGCGCGGTCGACATTGGAGTCGCTCGCGTGCTGCTCTTTCAGTTTCTGCACGTCGTCGTTGTACTGCTTGCCCGCCTGCGTCGAGATGGCCGCCATGGGCTTGTCGGCGTCGGGCTCCCAGCACTCGTAGACCACCGCCTTCATGTCCTCCACGTCCTTGGCCACGGTGAGCGAGAGCTTGGCCGTCATGACCGCCATCTCCTCCAGGCGCTCGTTGTCCTTGTCGCGGCCGCTGCCCTTGCCCTTGGTCCTGGACTCCTTGGCCGCACGCGTCGCGCCCCTGTCCACCTGGAGCGCACGCTTGCCCGCCCACGCTGGTGCCATCTCGAAGTCGTTGGTCGAGGCCGCCGCCGCTGCCCCAGCCGCTGGCGCCGCGTCGGGCATAGCCCTCTGGTCGGGCCTGGGTCGCAGTCGGGCGGGCGCAGGGGCCCGTCGGAGCAGCTGGCTGAAGAACTGCTCCGGGGAAATGGCTACGGAGGTGCTCGTAGAGACGTTGTTTGTCGTTATCTGCATATCCACACAATTGGCATTTCGGGGCGAAAGGCTCGATCGGTCGCATCGTCCGAGTTCTGTCCGACGGGCAGCGTCCTGTAAGGAGCCCCCTCATCAAGCGCCGTGCCGCCGTACTACGCTCTCCGAACACAATGCCACAGTTCACACACTCGTTAGTAGGTGTGAGTAGGGGCGCCACGTTGCTCAGTTTGCGTTTGTTACGCATGTGTGACATAAGCGCCTTACGTGTACTGAAGCATGCACCACGCACAGGGATAATCATGTTCTGTCGAGGGTCGTTGGCTGACATCACATCCTGAACACCCCCTGCTGGATCCACTGGCCCCGCCTGCAAGTCGGCAGTCGCCGTCGTCGGCGCAGTGTCGCCACGCTCGGAGGTGGTATGCGGCAGGTCCACTATCTCACATTTCCATGGAGCAATTTCCGCTAGCACCGTCTCCTCCTCTGCTACATCTGCTGCTGCTGCGTTGGCTCCTGGGCTTGGGAGGCCTGGGGGTGGGATGGTACGGGCCCTGAACGCCTGTCGGAGCTCCTTGGGGTCGAGGACTCTGAGGGCCTCCTGGAAGTCTGGCTCGAAGAAATTTCCGGGTCGGATGTCCAAGTCATTTAAGTTACTTACAAACATGTCCGTGCGGCACGCCTCCTCAAGGTCCTTAATTATTCTTTGCGCCCAGGCATTACACCGTGGATGGAGCGTGCCGTCGTCGCAGACCGTCGGAGTCCAGCTCCATAGCAAGTTGTCCGAAAATTGCTGTAAGTACTTGCTGGTGCGCCACGGGGTTGAGTAACATTTTTCTGATCCAAGTGAGGCGTCTGACGATTGCTTCCATTTGTAGTGGCAAGATTCGCCAGTGTCGTAAGACTTCATAATTCGTGAGACTCCGAACCGTACGTCGGGCTGGTAGGTGGTGGCTTTGCCACGCATGGCCCTCCGAGCTAGTCCCGCAACCGTCATCGTAAGAGTCCTATACTCGGCCTTAGTCGGTAAGAAGCTCTCGATACAGTTGAGCCCAGTATTGACTACCTTACAGATCAGGACCGCCCGTTTCCACTTGAACGGTACCCCCGCTTTGTACCAGAACCCTCCCATCTCCCTGTATGCCCTCATCATAGCATGAATACGTTGTGGCAGCTCCGCTCCGTACGTGTGCACAGTGTTGATGTGTGGTCCTAAGTATCTAGCCGACTGCACCGTGCGTCCTGGAAGTGCATGTTGTTACGTGCGAAACTGTCTGTACTGTGCCGTCGTGCCCCTACCCTGCAGTCTGACAAGGTTCTCTTGTTTGTCGCGGTTCTGAGCCAGGCCGAACTGCTGAAGTCTCTCGTCGAGCATGTCATCAGCCAGTCTGGCTTGTTGGGAAAGGTCCGCTGCAGCCTGATCCGAGGTGCTGACCAGTAGTTTCTGCAAATCATCCGCGTATTTGAAGAGACCTAAGTACTGTGATTGTTCGAAGAACGGGCAGCGTGCAATGAGCAGGTGATCCTCTGGCAGGTTCTCGAGACATGCAATTTTCCACTGCTCGACGGGGGGGGGGGGCAAACAGGGCAACAAAATTGTAAACCATGAATGGATCTCCGATGAGGCCCCCACATCCTGGTCGTATCATTGTCGGCTCCTCCTGATCCCTGCATGGCACTGTGAACGCACACTGTCTGTACCTCTGCTCCCCGACCTCCCACAACTCCTGTGGTAGCAGTGTCTGTGTAGCAGCATCCATTCCCGTCCAGTGCCCACTCGCAAAGGCGTTCGTCATGTCCTTCATCACTACTGAGTAGGACGCCCCTGCCCTGGAGAGCCTGTCCTGGGTGACCAAGCTGGCTAGTACTGCTCCCTCCCGTCTCCGTCCCTTCACAAAGCCGTAGTCCTCATCCCTGCAAGGTCGTCCTGCTCCTCTCTCTAGTTGGGCGGCGTAGTAGCATTTGCCTAAGGGGTCCAGGACGTGGTAGACTCTCTTGCCTTGGGGTCCGAGCTTCCCGTTTTTTCTGACAGCTGTGGCCTCACTGATGTGCCAACTAACTGGGGTCTTCTTTTGGACACGGATCTGTCGGAAGGCTTGTTCGAGTTGGATTCTGAAATTCCTGGGAAAGACCTCGCCCTTCTCCGTGCCCGCGCCAGCTCTGTCCTGGACCTCAGGAGGTCTAGTGAGCAACATGCGCCACGCCTCTGCTGGGGCCGAGCCCAGGGCGTGTGCCCTACGGAGCCCCGAACGATACAACTTGCGTGCCACAAGTTTCATGTCGTCCTTGGCGCCGTCTATGGCCTCGTTCAGGGCTGCAAAGTCTAGGGGGTAGGTGGTGTTCCTCGTCTCCTCAAGCATCTCCTCCCTCGTAGTGGGTGCCGCCTCCATACCTCCCTGTCCTCCTGGCAATCTCCAGAACTCCTCCCACTCCTGTCTGGTCGGCATGCTCGTCCTCACACTGCGGTAGTTGCGGCGTCGTGGTCCCAACTGTGTACCCGCGAGTAACCGACTGAGACGTCCCACCTCTGCTATATCCCTGCGCCTCCATGCTTCCCACAGCTCCTCCACCCTCTCTGCTCCTATCCTCTGCTGCGCCTCTCTCATCATCCTCGCACACTTCTTGGTCAGGGCTTTGAGGCGGGATGCTACATTGATCATCTGTTGTTCCGTGCCCTCTCCCTGGAGCTCCCGAAGGTCCCGTCGCCTGGTGAGGAGTGCCTGGCGGTCCTGCTGGAGTCGGTGATACGTGTCGTCCCGCGCAGTATCCTTACAGAAGTGGTTCTCGGCCAATCTGCAGACAATCTCAGAGAGGGCTCCAATGGTGTCGTTGCTATCTCCCTGCCTCCTGATCTCGTCCAGCTCCTCCTCTCTCCTGGCTACCTCCTCCTCCACCTCCCTAACAAAGTCGGTCCTACCCACATTTCGGCGCACCCCTTCTACCAGAGCCTGTCGGTTCCACCTGGGTCGTTGTCTGATTTTCGAGTAGTAGTGCCGATGATTCATGGCCACTGTGACGTGGGTGGGCATGTGATCTCGGAGTCCGCGACTGCGTATGACCTGGAGTCGTCGTCCCATACGGCTGAGTGGTCCCATCGTTGTAGTCCGTTCACGCCACTCCTGTGGGATCAGTATGTAGTCGATCAGAGAGGCATGGGTTTCCGTGAAGTAGGTAGGTCGCCATTTATCTTGTGTGCCCACTGCAAATAGGTGATGTCGTTCGGCCAGCTCGCGGACGCGTTGGCCCGCGCCTCCAGGTAGGCGCTCCGGGGCCCCTCCAGGGCCGACCGCCCAGCTGTGCCTTGGTTCACCCTTGGGGGTCTGTCCTAGGCCGTCATTGAGGTCACCTCCGATCACGATTGAAGTATTCGTGCCACAGCTCGTGACCTGTTGGTAGGACGGAGACGAAGGGATGAGCAGGGAGGAGGTCGGCAAAAAGAGGGAGGAAGGACAACGGGAGGAGAGAGGGCAGACGAGGAAGGCGAGGCGAGAGGGCAGGCGGTGGACGAGGAAGGACGGGGGCGGCAGGGGGGGGGAAGGGAGGCACAAGCAGAGAATTTGTGGTGGAGACTGCTCTCACGCTTTTCCCTCCAGGACTCCCGGACCTGGCAAAATCGAGACCGAGGTGTTCCAACACTTTCATTGGGATGTCCGACCGTTTGGCACGGTCCTTCGGCTTCCCGAGATCCCACCGCACAGGTCTGCTGTTTGATGTCCGGCTCGGTGTCCCCGCCCCGCCCAGACCCCCCCAGATCTATGGTTCCTCCTCCTCCTCCTCGGAGAAGGGCTGTGTTGTCTGCTTACATGGTTCGGTATCTCGGCTGCCCCAGATCGGACCGCAAGGATGATCAACGCCGTGCTGTCTGGTTTGTTTCGTTCGGTGCCCTGGGTTCCCCAGATTGGAACCAAAAGGCGATCGAGCCTTGGATGTCTGAATTCCTGGGTCGGCGTCTCGGCTCCCCCTGATTTGAACGCACTGACAACCAAGGCCACGATGTCTGATCTTGCTGGTTCCGCGAAACGGCTACTGCACATCTGGACCAACAGGCGATCGAGACCCTGATGTATGATTTTCTCGTTCGGTGTTTCTGTTTACCGAGCAGTTCCCCTCACAAACAATCGAAACTATGATGTAGTGTTTGCTGGCTGGGTACCCCGTTTCCCCCAATTCCGAAAAAACGAAATATAGATCCGACAGTTGATGCCAAAACTTCTGACTCGACTCGGTGCCCCGGCTCTAAAGGATTCGAACCAACGCAGGATCGCGGCCATGATGCGTGATGCTACTCGGTGTCTCAGTTGCCCCACATCTGATCACCCATGCAATCAAGCCTCTGATGTCTGTTGTTCGCGTATGGTGTTTCGGCTACCCTAGATGCAACCCATGAGACGATCGAAGCAATGATGCCCGATTGTTCGGCGCGGTGCTTGGTTTTCACCAAATCTGGACCAACAGGCGATCGGGCCTCTCATGCCTCGTTTGCTGGTTCGGTGCCCCGGCTCCCCCCGGATGTGAACCAACAGCCGATCGAGGCCATTTGTGATTGTCTGGCTCAGTGTTTCGACATCCCCGGCCGAATTCGAACTGACAACCGATCCGGCCTCTGATGTCTAAATTATGGTTCCGTGTCTCGGTTCCCGAAGACCTGGATGAAAGGACGATCGAGGACACAACGTCTGATCTGCTGGATCGGCGTTCCAGCTGCTTCACACCTGGACCAGCAGGCGATCGAGCCTCTCATGTCTGATGTTCTGGTGGTTCGGTGTCTCGGTCCCCCTGGAGCTGGACCAGCAGACGGTGGAGCTAGGATGTCCCATTGTTTCGCTGGATGTCTGGGCCTCCCACATGTGAACCAACATGCGATCGGGCATAGATTGCCTGATGCTCTTGTTGTGTTTTCTGGTTCCCCCATATCTCAACCAACAGATCACAAAGGCTATGAGGTCTCATTGCTTGGTTCGGTGGCCCGGTCTGCCACATCTGAATCAGAAGGCCATCTAGAATCCGATGTCTGATGTCCTAGACCTGTTCAACGGCCTTACTGGATCTGGACACACAAACGATGGATGCCTTGATGCGTGATATATTCGCATTCAACACCTTACGAACATGATACAAGCACCTCTCGGGAGACCCACGGACGGGTTGGCCACCCGAAAACAGGTGAAGAAAAACTAGATGTGCCACTTTCATTCGGGGCCCCAACATGAAGTGACATATCCCCGGCTGATGCATTTCCTAGATGCAGCAGACACCTTGCAAGAGACCCACCCACAGACGAGGTGGCCAGCCGAAAACTAGTTGACAAACTCCTATCACCTGCACTGCGGGCCCCAATATGGAGCGATGCAGTTCCACTCAACATAATTCCCGTATGAAGCAGGCACCTAGCAGGTGACCCACACGCAGGCGGGTAACCCGAACAGTCGTTGACAGAACAACAACTGGTGCGCTTGCATTCTGGGCCATAAACTTGAAGCATCATGACGTGATGCATTCCCACTGAATACATTTCCCGCATGAAGCACGCACTATGCACGCGGGTGGTTGAGTAAAACCAGTTGGTTCATTAGCAATCTGGGCCCAAACACGGTGTATTCCCACTTCATACACTTCCTGCATGCAGCAGGCACCACGCAGGTGACCTACAGGCAAGTGGGACACCCGATACTGTGGCTGAGGAAGACAAATTGTTTCATGTGCATTCTGGGCCCACACATGGTGTATTCGCATACATTCCCTGCATGAAGAAGGCACCACGCAGGTGACCCACAGGCGGGGAGGGTCAACCGAAAACTGGCTGAAAACGACCAAACGTTTCACGTGAGTTCTCGGCAGCCCCTCGGTGGCTCAGAACCCGCTCAGAGTCTCTCTGGGGTCTCGATGGGCTTCCTGTAGATTCCTGTAGAATTCGGGGGGGGTCCTGGGCAGCGCAGGAAGGTCTCCCCCAACTGAGGCGGGGACGGCCACAACTTGAATGCATCTTTCTTCGGGGTGCCTGCGGAGGGGCCTGGAAGGATAGAGGGTGAAGTCCAATATGGAAATGGATTCCCCAGAAAATTTCCGGAACAGACCCGAATGAATTTAAGACACATTACACGAACGCCGCCTCATGAGAAACCCAAGGATTTTCCAGCCTTGGCAACGGAAAGGCGAAAGCGAAACTAAGGTTGTGGTATTGGAACATTCCCAGACGTGCGACGTTCTGATGTTTTCAATACGCGGCCCCCCGAAGTCAAAACCCTTCCCCCAGGTGATGGTTTTCGTCCTGAGTTGCTTTGTTAACGTTCCCAGGGCCAAAACGACGAAAAACCGCCCGAGGGGGGAGGGCGACGGCCTACCAGCCAGAGGTCCTCCTCTGAGTATGACCCGAGAGGAGAGGGCAACGGCAGCGCGCGTGTGGCGCGCGGGCGGGGCGCGGCCATTCGCTTTGCCCGCCGTCGCCGCCGTCGTCGTCGTCGTTGTCGCCATCGGCGCCGCCGTCGTCGCCGTCGTCGCCGTCGTCGTCGTCGTCGCCGCCGCCGTCGCCGATGTCGCCGATGTCGCCGATGTCGCCGTCCCCGCCGCCGTCGTCGACGTCGTCGTGGACGTCGTCGTCGTAGGCGTCGTCCCCGCCGCCGTCGCAGTTGCTGTCTCCGTGGTCGTCGTCGTCCTCCTCGACGTCGTCGTCGTCTGCGTCGTCGCTGGCGGCGGCGCGCGGGCGGGGCGCGGGCGGCGCGCGGCCCTTCGCGCTGCCGGGCGTGGTCGCGCCCTCCGCCGGCGTGCCCGCAGCGGACGTCTGGCGGGCGCGCGTGCGCGGCCGCTGCCGCGGCGGCGGCCTTGGCATGGCGGGCGCCTGGCGCCGCGGTGGGCTGGCCAGGAGGCCAACGCTGAAAGGGCCCTGGGACACACAAAGCAATACACACACAAATAAAAATATTCCCCATATTTTCCTATATTTTCTGGGTGTTCGTCTTCCCCCCCATTTCCCATATTTTCGCATATTTTTGGGGGAATCGACGATTAATTGTGTCAGTGTTTTTTCCCCTCCTGAAAGGCGGCCCCCAGGCCGCATGGGCGTGGCCGCTGTTGGTAGGAGGCCGCCCGTTATACGCCTGCGGATTCCGGCCAGGATCGCACTGTGGGCCCACAGTCGGTGTGCATCCGCCCTCTTGTCGTGGGCAGTACTGCATAGGCACCGCTCCCGGGCCCGGGCTCGGCCTGGCCAGGATCGGTGCAGGTGTACGGTGGGTGCCCTTCGAGCTGGTGCGTCTTGGCTCCCGCCCGCAGTCATACTCTACACTGGATGCGGGGGCGGGCCTCTCTGAAAGCACGGCTCTCGAATGCGCGCCGCGAGCGAAATCGTCCCCACAGGCGCCAGCAGGCACCACGCGGGGTGGAGGGCGCCGTGTGTTCCAGGTGGGGCGTTCTCGCCTGACCGCCGCCGCGCCCGTGGGGCTCTGTAAGTGACATTTAAAAGCCTGCACGGGTGGAGGATGGCTCCTCTCCGGAATACAGCCAGGGCGCTGAAGAAGGAACCCTTTTCGTTGGGGAGGGGCTCGATGATCCTTGATTGTTCCACACGTTGCCTAAGGTTTCCCTTCAGTTTTCGATGGGAAGTCGAAGTTCAACTTAGAAAAAAGGGGCCTCGTTCCTTATTTAGGGTTCCTTAGGTCAACGCCTCGACTGTAGGGCAAATCGCCGGAACACACCGTCGGACCCGACGTCCCGAAACATGGCGCGACCACAACTACAGGACAGGCTCCAGCTGCATGGGCGCCATGCCTGGCGTTGCTTGGCGATGCTCGGCGCTGCTCGGCAATGCTCAGCGCTGCGTCGCAGTGGTCGGGGCTGCTTGGCATTGATTGGCACTGCTTTTGGCATTGCGCGGCCTGGCTTGGCATGGATTGGCATTGCGTTGCAACATGCACGCTCGGCCCTGCCGGGTAACCCGAGGAACAAGACAGGGCAACCCGAGGAACCCAAAGCAGGGAACAACACAAGGAAGCCCGGGGAACTCAAGGATCCAGAAAAAGAAGACTGATGCCTGGCATTGCCGGGTGAACCGAGGAACACGACAGGGGATCCCGAGAAACCCAAACCAAAGAACAACACCGGGATCCCCCAGGGAATCCCGGGATCTAGAAGAAGACTGGGACCCAGAGGCACCAAGCAACAACGAAGAAGACTAGGAGAATCCCGAGGATCAAGACCTGGGAATCCGAGGAGCGAAGCCAACCATCAAAACAGGGAAAACCACGGCCCTTGTAAGAAAACAACACCGTGGAATTCACCAAGGCCGATTTGTTCCCACCGGGGAGCCCGCGAGGAAGGCCGCTACAAGGACACGAGACTGGGGAACCCCGAGAACAGCCGAGGCCAACCGAGGCCAACCGGTCCCGGCACACAGTGACTGTTCATCAACATGTAAAGACCCTGAAGCAAAGCCAAGTTGGGGAAAAGCATGTGCAATTGATGCATGGATAAGGTGCGGCTCTGGTTGAATGGTGTAATAACTTGGAACAACATCGGATGGTATGACCACGTTTGTAAAACAAATCGTGCGACTGCTACATTGATGGCGGGCGATTTCCTCTAAACAGACAAGGTCCTCTCTAGCCTTTGGCCATGTCTTTCAATGGCAAGGTTCCCTTTCACTGACACGGTTCCCTTTCACCTTATAATTCTTTGAACATAATGACGGCCCCACATCCCGACACTGCGTGTAGCCAAAGAGACGCAAAGGAAAGGTCACCTCCTTTTGCGGAAGCCAAAATCCAGGTTGCATGGCAAACACATGGTGCGCTCGCCGTTCAAGGGGACCCTCTCCGGCAGTGGCATGACATGCGCGTTGGGACTTTTGAGGGGGCTTGGGACGACAGGGCGTTTTGCATCATCGTCGGTGCGTACATGTGTGGGAACCACCCACACATATATCTATACACATGAATACATACATGCATGCATACATACATACATACGTACATGCATGCATACACCTTTCTACATACATACATACACACGTATATTTATATGTACGTATGTATGTATGTATGTATGTATGTATGTATGTATGTATGTATGTATGTGTGTATGTGTGTATGTGTGTATGTGTGTATGTGTGTATGTCTGTATGTATGCATGCATGCATGTATGTATGTATGTATGTATATATGTATGTATGTATGTATGTATGTATGTATGTATGTATGTATGTGTGTGTATGTATGTATGTATGTATGTATGTATGTATGTATGTATGTATGTATGTATGTATGTATGTATGTATGTATGTATGTATGTATGGATTAATACTATACACATGTGTAGGTGCATATCTGTGTATGTATACACGTTTTCCCCGAAGCCTGGACGTCGCAGAACATATGCCTCACACACGGAACACTGCTCTGGGTAGGCAGTGGTTCGGCGCAAGACCTTGCCACAACGTCGGATCGGCCGCTACGTTGCGCAGCTCGGCGAGGCTCTCTATGGATTTTGTCGATGCTCGTATAGTGCCCCGCGGCACGAGTTGGTGTGTCCCCAAATCCCTCCGAGCTCTGTGCACGGAGTTTTCTGTAAACTTGTTTTCAAAAAGAAGGGGCCCAAAGCCCGGATTTCTGGGCGCTCCTGGGCGCCACTGGGGGCTCCCACGTGAATTTTCGAGAAGCCAAGAGCGCGTTGCTCGGGGCATGCGTGCACAAGATGGTTCCAGGTGGTCCCAGGGACCGTCCTGGAGCCTTGTTGGGCGCATCTTGGGCCGCCCTGGGGGGTGTGTAAGGCCGCCCTGGAAGCCAAAATCGTCCAACTCCACTCGGTTTTGCACAGTTCTCGTGCTGCCGCCGTTTCTGTCCTCAGATCGTCCAGGCCGACCCAAGACACGCCAAGAATCGCTCCAGAGCGGCCCAACACACCCCCAAGAGGGGCCCGAGAGGCCGGCAACAACAGCTCAAGAGGGGCCCCAAGATCGGGAAGACGACCTGACATTTGATCCCTCCGCCCCAAAATATTCCAAATCCCATATTAATCGTCCCCCGGGTCCGGTTTTTGTAAGGCGCCTCTTTGGTAACTGGGGGGGTCCGGATTATCAGGGCACTTTCTTTGGATTGTAGCCTAGGGGGTCCGGTTTATCAAGGCGCCCCGTCGAAGAGGGGGGTCCGGAATGTTATGCCGCATTTGGAGGGGGGTCCGGTTTTTTGGGGGAGTGTCGATTAAAAAGGATTTGGAGTAGCCACCTCCTCCTCCTCCTCCTCCTTCCACCCCAAGGGCCCTCAAGGTGCGCCAAAAGAGCCCCGCCAGCCCCCCAAGAGAGGCCGGAGGGTTCCCGAAGCTCAGGCCCGAAAGGGCCCCAGCACACCGAGGCATCCAAGAAGCCTCGGGCCTGCAGCCCCGGCACGGTGGCGGCATGGGCCATCAACCGCCAGTGCACAGATGTGTGCACAGATGTTTATGGAGGGAGGTGAGGAGAGAAGGTAACAAGAAGGAGAAGGACAACACAAACGGATTGAACATACATATGTATAAGAGAGAGAGAGAGAGAGAGAGAGAGAGAGACAGAGAGACAGAGAGACAGAGAGAGGAAAAGAGAGAGGAAAAGAGAGAGAGAGAGATGTCCGCCTCCTCCTCCTCCTCCTCCTCCTAGTCCTCCTCCTCCTCCCCTCCTCCTCCTCCTCCTCCTCCTCCTCCTCCTTCTCCTCTTCCTCCTCCTCCTCCTCCTCCTCTTCCCGCCCCTCCTCCTGGCCATGCCCTCTGTGCTGCCCCTGAAGGTCCAAGCGCAGGCGCGGGGGGGGGGGGCGGGGCCAGGCGCGGGGCCGGGCGGCCTTGTCCTTTTTCTTGTCCTTCTTCTCGTCCTTTTTCTTCCTCTCCTTCTCCTTGCCCTTCCTCGAGGGTTCCTGGGGCCGCGCCGAAGCGGCTCCGGCGCGGGCCCACCCAAGGTCTGGGCCCTGGCGCATCCACGGGATGCCTTGGGGGAGCACGACGAGTCGCCAGACGTGGTCCGCCTCGTGGACGGCGCGCCCCTGCCCGAGGCAGGTGGCCGAACGGAGGCGCGTCCGAGTTTGCCCCGTGCAAGGCGCGGGCGCGAGCAGAGGAACAGGCCGGGGGGGCAGCAGCGAAGGCGATTCTGAGCTGCGCTCCTGGCCCATAGACAACGAGGCCCACCACAATACCTTGCCGCAAATGCGGGGCCAAGCTGGCAGCATCTCCCCTCGTACTCTGTGCATTGGGTTCACGTCTAATCGCATGCACGAAATCGTCGCCAGCCTGTTGACCACTGGGTCACGGTACTTTCTGGCTTCGCAGCGGCGAGTAATGTGGTCTGGCTCTTTGTCGCCCGCAGCGAAAGTCGCATCGCCTCGCTGTCGTAAGCTGTTCGCCCCCTCCCCCCTGCTGGTGTCGCGCAGGAGGTGGTGGGGCGAGGAGGATGTCGTGCTACGAAGGCAAGGTGGTCCTTAAAAGGACCTGGGGGGGTACCGATAAGACGTCTCAAAAGGGAAGAGGGCTGCGAAGACGACGCCTGCCTCCTTCGAAGGCTGGACCCCCACCCCGCCTCTTTTTGCGCGCGGCTCGGACCCCCTCCCCCCAGTCGCTCATGGACCTCCAGGAGCTCTCGGCTGGCCAATCAAGATCTCCGAATGGACCGTCGATTCGGCTCTTTCGAAACGCACTTATGGTGGGCTTGTTTTCCACCGCCACCGCCATAAGTAGGAGGGGGGGCCCTCGTCCTACTCCTCCTCCACCTCCTCCTCCCGTTATTCCTCCTCCCCCTCCGCATCCTCCACCTCCTTCCCTCCTCCAACTTCTGGTGGTGGTGGTTGTGGAAAACAGGCCCATCAACTTCCCCCCATGGTCTTCCAGGCCCTCGGATAAAGTCTTATGGATTATGGACGGCTCCAGGGGTCCCCAGCACGTCACATCCCTCTCACACGCTGCGCACCCCGCGTGAGCCCCCCCAGGCTCTCAGCTAGCCTCTTGAGATGGGGGCCTAAAGTTTGGTAGGGCGTGTCCTCCACTTTTCGGCCGTCCGACGCTCCAAAACGGCCCAGCAGGCCCAAAAGACCACCCCAAAACGGTTAAAGAAGCATGTTAAACGGGCCCCAAGACTGTGTAAGAGCGCCCCAAGACGGGCCGAAAGACGCCCAAGACGGCCCAAGAGGGCCCCAGGACGGCCACGGCCCAAAATAGGGAGCACGGAGCGAAAATA